AAACTAATAAGTGGTCCCTTGGACCACTTTACTGCTTCACTGAGCAAACCAGTCCAGGAACAATGGGGAATGGCAGGTTTGCCCAAACATTTTAAAGAGAACTGTTCCAATTTGCTGTAATTTCAGTTGAGCTTTCATGGTTTTCTAATGAATATATAACTCAAAGGAGAACTAGGCAAATTGTTTTCTCAGTTTGGATAGTGTAAACGAGGGTTCTAAACCCTGTACATTTTTTTGCCATTGGTGTACCATTGGGGAGATTTCTCTGCCTCATAGCCAAACCAGGAAACGAGAGGAAATCCCTCCAAAGTAACAGAATACCTGGCTGTCACCAGAGTCATCAGAACTTGATTTAATCTCTATTCCTGTTCTGGTGACAACTCAATTTTAGGATTTTCTTTCACTTTCACTCTATGCGATGATGGCAAACATGACTAATAGTGAGGATAAATCCCCTTAATGGGGACATAGCAATCAAAAATCTAATAGGCATTCACTGTAATACCTCTCCATTCCATCCAATATTAAAATATAAATATTTATACAGTATATAAGCTTATTCTGCTTATATGTTGCGCCCCACACACACACCTTTATCAGTATGATAAAAACAATTTTAAGTACGGAAAAATGTATACATTTTTTTATTACTTATTTTAGTAATAAAATAATAATAATGTTACTTATTTTAGACCCTTTTATACCATCCAGGCAATGCAGGGAGATCATGGCTAGTGGAAGAGGCCAGTAGGGTGATTAAATAGATTAATTAAAATGTCACAGCAAACTGTGTATGTATTCTTCTCAAGAACTCTCATGCAAGCAGTCGGCTGACTCTTGGAAGGAGTAATGAAGTTATCTAAATCTCTTGATGGGCGGACGTTAGTCTGGTGAAATAGGTGTCCTTAGGGCTCGTTTACACTTAACTTTATTTCTAACTCTTGCCAAACGCCCATATAGCATTTGACAGGTGTTAGACAGGCATTTGTGAAGTGTTTTTAATGTTCCTCAAACGCTCCCCAAATGCCCCATACGTGGTTTTGAGGTGGTGGATAGGTGTTTGCCAAGCGTTAAAACCACACCACAAACGCCTATAATGAAGTTAAATGATCTTAACACATGGCAAATGCCTCGCAACCGCACCGCAAACGCCTGCGAGGTGTTTGCAGAGTGGCACAATAGACTTGAATGGGAGGCTTCAACTCCTCCTGACTCGGCATGAGACGTCTGTTTTGTTACAATGCAACTCAACATGACGCTAATGCTTCAGTATGAACAGCACTGTGTGCTGCCATGAGCAGAATTTTCACAGGCGTTTGAGCAGCGGTAAAAAACGCTTCCCAAACACCTTTCTGATGCCTGCTGACAAAGCTAGTGTGAACTATGCCTTAGGTAGGCAGCATTTGCATGCAGACTGCATTATGTAACTCCCACCTGTGATGCTGAGCCTCCAAGATACCTGGTCACAGGGGCGGACTGACCATTTGGAAACTCGGGCACTGCCTGAGGGCCCAGGGTCAGTAGGGGGCCCCATGAGATGCCCCTGGTACCTTTTTCATAGGCTTTTTTGAGTTTGGACAAGGACATAGGGGCCCCATGATCCCCTATTGCCCGGGGGCCCCATGAGTTGTCAGTCCGCCCCTGCCTGGTCCACATTGAGTGCTATCACTCTGGGTGTGTTGTGGCTGCCTACTTTTTTTTTTTGCACTGTGCTGCAGTGTAAATGTTTTTTTGCAGTGTAGCGCTGCCTATACCTACCTTACAGTGGCAGTTCAGAGCCAAAGGGAGCCTCCTTCTTTGCTTGAGTCACATGACACAGATGGGGGGGAGGATTTCTCTCTCGTCACTTTAATTTGCCATTGCCTCTGAGGTCTGTGAACTGCTGCTTCATTTGATAAGTAGGATGGAAGAGATTTGCATTGAAGAGTGGTGTGTGCTGGGGAAGTAGGCTGGGAGAGGTGCTAATTCAGAGGGTAGGCTTGGAAGGGGGGCTACACACTCCTAAACCCTGCACTCTGTGTATTACGCACTTATGAATACCACACACTATGTGTTGCACACTCATGAGACATCACCCTCTGTGTTATGTACTCCTGACCCCTGTACTTTCATACTTCTGACTACTGCACTCTAAGTACCTTATATACTACTGAAGTTCTTGCTTAAAGTAGGCTGTGTGTAGAAAGAATATGTATGTAATAGTTATAATTTTTCAAAATGAGTGTTCTAAATGTTTGTACTTGTCTGCTAGACTCTCACCTGTGGCACAGTAACTAAAGAATATTTTGTGGGTACCAGGACTCTGGCATGGGTGTGCTGTGTATACAGCAAGTGCGCTCAGGTTTTGTTTAACCATGCCACATTAAGCACTTCCCAATATTAGCAAAACTTGACCACACCTACAGTTTGGCACAGCACACTTTTTGTTAGGGGGGTTGGGTGTTAAAACATTTTTTCCCCAGGTGCCAGACATGTTTTGCCACCTAATTAAACCAGCTAACAGTTTCCTATGTTCCTCAGAGACTATAATGGTTCGATTACTGTGTTTTCATTCTAAATCTTGCCGTTCTAATACAGCACTCCTCCCTTTGAAAGCTTGTGATTGCATTCAGTGACTCCATTTAAAGAATTACTAAAACATCACTTTTAGGTGCATTGATATTTTATTATAAATTCATTAATTTTCATGATCAGCTTGAATCTAAATAGCAAAAGCTTTTTTGCAGAGGAATCTTTGTAAAGGGTAGAAAAAAAATGAGGTCGCTTATTTTTTCTGTTCATGACCCCATTAGGGAAATTTCAACTCTCTTCCTTTCCCTGTGATAGCAGGAAGAATTAGGTGAGTGGTTGGATTTCTGCAACCTGAATTCTTGCCAAACATGGATGATGCAGGTCAGGGGTGGACTGACCATTTGGAAACTCAGGCACTGCCAGAGGGCCCGGGGTCAGTAGGGGGCCCCATGAGATGCCCCTGGTACCTTTTTCATAGGCTTTTTTGAGTTTGGACAAGGACACAGGGGCCCCATGATCCCCTATTGCTCGGGGGCCCCATGAGTTGTCAGTCTGCCCCTGATGCAGGTTCAGTCACTCGCCACTTCCTGGGATGTCCATCTCACATCCTAGGGGCCAGTGTTTCAGTGTGAGATCTCAATGGATCTGCGGGATCTCATTTCAAGATGATGGCAAGGAAGCAGAGTGGCAAAGGAGAACTCTGGCTGCAGGAGAGACAATGCTGGATTCCATAGACTGGTAAGCACTGTATGTTTTTGTTTATTCCATTACATATATTAGGAATTTTATATGTAATTTTAGATAGGCAGGATGGAGTTCCACTTCAATTAAATGACGCTGTCTGAAGAAAATGCAATAACAAATGACAGCATGAAAAAGAAACCTAAGCCATAATAACTGCAAGGGCTAATATAACAATTTAAAGGTGAACTTTGGGCATACTGAATTCAATTTGGTCTTTGTCTCATGCAATGTCCTGTATAGAAGTGGGGAGCAGCACTTGTTGCCAATCAGATGTACTATATACACATGAACTGACAAGGCACGAGCTAATAACAGAACAGAAAGAGAGTGATGACCTCATTGTGCTCCTTCTTGCTTTGGGTACTACATTTTGTACTTAGCTCTTTTCCCCTCACTCAGATTTCTTGAATAATCTCAAAGGTGACTTGGTTTATTATCTCTAGTTGTAATCTTGTTCAGAGACTAAAGATATCACTGTCTTCATCAGTCACATCTTTAGGCTCTAAACAAGATTACAATTAGTGGTAAAGACAGAAGTCAGCATGTAGGAAAAGTATCAGGTTTTGTTCAGACCTATAGGCTATAAACTGTACAGTGCTGGTGTGGTGATAACATCTCTTTGTACCTGCATGCAGGAGCTTGGAAACACAGATCAGGACCAATTCTGAAGCTGAAGCAGCTCTATTTAAAAACAAAATCAAGTATTTAAATTCCTTTTTCTAAGTAGTGCAAGTCTAGGAAAAAAACATAGAGGTTTGAACAGTGCCAGGACAAGGTCATCTAGAGGCCAGGGTGAACATGTCAGATTGCGTCCCCCAAGATGTATGAGCATAAATTCTCCCAGTACAAATCCTCCCTACTGAACCCCCCCTACTGAAATCCCCTCTCCAAGCACAAATGTTTACCCGTTAGCTCAAAGCCTCTCTTACCCCATATGTTCCAGCATAAATCACCCCCCACCAAAAAATGTTTTTGCCTCCTTGCACAAAATCCTCCACCCCTCCCTCAATCTTCCATTCTAGCACAAATCCCCCTCCTAGCACAAATGCTCCCCAGTCATCCCTGCTAGTACAAATGCCCCTGTCAAAAAATTTACCCTCCTGGCACATATCTCTGCCCCCTCTACAATATCACCTTTTCTAGCACAAACCTCCTTCCCCCCTCAAATTCTCTTCCCCCTCGCAACACAAATCCCCTCAAATCACCACTCCAAGCACACCTTTCCAAAATTCCCCTCCTACAACAATTCTTACCCCCTGCCACGCCCCAAATCTCCCCTCCCAATACAAATTCCCTTCCCCTCATGCTCCTCATGGTGAACCCCACCACACATAATACCACAGCCACCCCTCTTGTTCACCCCTTGTCCAAGGCCTGGGTTTGAATCAGCTTTTAGGGATTAGGAACACTTTAACTACACACTTCTTAGATGAAGAACTCAGATGTCATCTCCATATTATTCATATTTTCATTATTCCATATATCATTATTGCCATGTGCATATTTTTTTTGTTTACAAACTATTTTTATTAACCAACTGTCTATCAGGCACTTTTACCCGCTTCCTGTCCAGGCCAATTTTCAGTCTCTCACACTTTGAATGACAATTGGCAGTCATGCAACACTGTACCCATATTAATTTTTTATGGGCACTGATATGCTGCACTGATGAGGTGGCACTGATGAGGCATTACTGGTGGGCATTGATGAGGAGGCACTGATGATACTGCACTGATATGCAGCAATGATGGTCACTGATTGGCAGCAATGATGGGCACTGATAGGCTGCACTGATGGGTGACACTGATGGGCAGCATTGACGGGTGGCACTGACTGACAGCACTAACTGGCAGGACTGACTGGCGGGACTGACTGGTGGCACTGCTGGGCACTGTTGGGTAAAACTTCTGGACACTGCTGGGCGGCAATAATGGGTAGCACTTCTGGACACTGGTGGGAGGCACTGCTGGGCACTGGTGAGTGGCACTGATGGGTACTCATCATCAGTGCCCTGATGATCAGTGCTGATCTGCTCAGAGACAGTTGCTGGTTATCGGCAGTATTTGCATCACGCTGTGACGTGTGACAGCGTGAGGAAAGTGCAGCCATTAACCAGCAACTGTATTTACTCGGTGATCTGCTGTGTCATTGGACACAGTTGATCACATGGTAAAAGGCTGCTGTAATTGGCCTTTTATCTCATCACGTGATCAGCTGTGTCTGTAGGACACAGCGATCACGGAGATTGCCGGGTGCACACCGCTGGGGGCGCGTGGGAAGACGTGTTCATATGACACCATTCCAGAAATGGACACCCGCGCTGTAGCCGTCACTCAGCTATAGTGTGGTTGGCAAGTGGTTAATGAATGAAAAATAGTACAAGTGACCCAAAGGGTCGGAATCAAAAAAATTTTTACAAATGAAAATGAGAAGCTTTCAAGAAAAACAACCAATTCAATATACAAATAACAGCCATATGGCCATATTTTGACAGTGTAATAGAAAGGTGCAAAAAACAAATGTCATATATCATAGGATATAAAACAAATAATGAAATATGTGGCTCAGAACATGGTAATATCAACAAAATAAAGCCATGTGCATATTTTTGTGCCAACTGCTTTTGTCTTCGTATTTGTGCGTAATCATTTCTGTACACCTCTAAGAGCATATTTGAAATATGCCTTGAAATAGTACAAAGAACAGGATTATAGATCCACTTTCAAAAATGGAGTACATATTACACCTAACTGCAGTTCACAGTGTTATATCTGGATTACTTGGGCATTATCTTTACAGGGCTCAGCCAAATAATCAGAAAGTAACTGTAACTTGAAGTTTACTAAACATGTACAAAGTTAGAAGCAATAATACAAAAGAGGTTCAGGATAGCAAAGAGCATGCATACACTGCAGAATAATACTGAAAGCTGCACATATATAGACTTTTCACAGCAATAACTGCGACTCAATCAGGGGGACGTGTGGAATCATAGTATAGCTCTATAGGACTCTTTAAAATCAGAGAGTGTAGCTGAGAATACAACTTGTGTAAAATAGTTCAGAACACAAGCAGCTACCGGCAATTGGCCTCCAACATTGCACCCCTCTAAGTGAAGTCCAGAGTACAGTATATATGTAACTTGGGTGAACGGGAAGATTTTGTTGAATTTTTGTTTATGAAATGATTTTATTAAATTAAATTTTTTAACATTCTTTAATTTGTTTGTTTCATTGCTACTGTTTATTTTTGTTTTGATTTCCATCTAAAGTGCCTCCTGTTTCGCAAATATTCTAACTCATCAAAGTGCTAGGCTGAATTTTTCCAACCCTGGCTACATTGTGCTTTGTATTGATTCTCAAAACAAATTTAAAGATCTTTTATGATATACTATTGGCTGTATATCATGTATAACATTTCCTGTGATTAATCACTATGAGATTGATTTAGTAAAGGACCAGAGAGTGCTTACTTAGAAAAGTAAATATTCAGTTTGCAAAGTGACTATTAGTAACTAAGGTGATGCTTTGTTCACTCGAAATACACAATCATGTTTTACAAATGTTTTTTTTTTTTTTTTTTACTTTTCTCTTCACACGACTGGATATTCAAAATGTTTCACCTTTTTCGTTAACTTTCATTCTGCAAGGTGAACATTCACTTTGCTAGGTAAAAAGTGTTACAATACCGTCTGCTAGGTTATGTGAATACTCCCAGGGTTCTTAATCTAAGTGCTAGTTGGTCTCCTGGTGGTGGAAATAGGCTTGAAACCCTAGTGTTCCCTAGAACACTTTGTTGTAACTGGCACCAGGTCCTGGCCCCTGGGAATTCCTCATCAGGAAGTACCAAATACAGAAGGTATACAAAAAAGAGACAGGAGACAAGAGCACAGTTCAGATAATGAAGAGGTCTTGGCAGATAGCAAGCAGAGAGAAGCCAGACAAGTTTGGTAAGCAACAAGTAGGTCGTAATCTAGACTGGAGTAGTCAAGTTCAGGCAGGAGTCTTGGAAGGTGGAAAGCAAAGGGTAGTCAGACAGTTTGGGTCGGCAACTATAAAGATAGGTAATGCAGCAGAAAACAAGAAAATAGTCAGTGAAAAGTATACCTCATGCCGCCACTCCAAGCTGTGAATAGAAAGAAATAAAGATTACCTCACCGGACCGTGAGAAGAGGGGAACATGAATCCGAGCGATTTCAGTGTCAGCCAATACAAGTGAAGGAATGGATGCTGCTCAACCGACTCCAGGAGTCCAATGTTGAGCAATGGCCTCAGCCGCTATTCTGGCTGTGCCGTCTGACATGTTTCACCCTAACCACTGAGGCTTGGTCACAGAGGACTCCAGGGGTCGGTTTAGAAGTGTCCATTCCTTCAAGAGAATAGTCAGGCAATCTGAGTCAACCACAATGCTCACTCATGGGTGGCTGATTGAAACCACAACATACATCACTTCAAAGACTTGAGTGTAAATAACCTTTTGGTCAAAGGGCACACATAGCATTGATTTAGGGAACTCTGGAAGTCCTGGCAGGGACTCTGCTTGTACCAAGTGCCATTAGAAGTACTAACAGAATTCTGCAAGTACCATTAGAAGTACTGGCAAGGATTCTGCAAGAAGCACTGGAAGTCCTGGCAGGGATTCTAGAACTGTTGTAACAAATAGTCTATGCTCCTTTATTAAATCAACATCTCTGTGTTTATTTATTATACCGTATGTTTAGTGACACTCTCAGTAAACAGATGACAGCTGTCAGAGAGCTTTACCTGTCTGTTCCCAACTGCAGTAGAGGAAAGTGTGGTGCACAATTCAGCGCATCACATAGCTCCCTTTTTTTGTACAAACTTTATTTCAAGTGTACAAAAGTACACTTTATTCATTGTGCTATACATTGATATGCTGTTTTGTACAGTGCGATGAGATAAAACGCAGCATGTCTGCATTTTATCGCAGTATGCTGTAGCACGGCTTTAGGCTGCATTGCAGTGTGAGTTGTTTTCTGTGTCAGTGCAGTGACAGGCATTTTACAATGCAATAAAACGCCTGTCACTGTACTATGATTGAATTTTCCCTTACTCCTCCATCCAGAGTGAAGACACTATAAGGCTGGCCATACACGTATAGAATATCATCCATTTACAGTGCGAATGACTAGTCATCTCTTGACGATGACTTGTCCACTAAACACATAGAATAAAATTTGTTCAAAAATTCTTCTTCCGGTTCACCAAAGGACACGGGCAATAATAGACAGGGAATTTTTCATTTCGATTAACACATAAACATATACACTTTGGTTGAAACAAAAGTTTTCACTTCAGATCCATTGACATTAGCCGGGCCTACTTTCAAAACTGGCTGTAGAGTTGAGTCCACTAATGGCACGAACATCGAACGATCTGTTCAAAAACTAAATTTTTCGGCCAATATCCTATACATGTATGGGGTATAAGACAGGCAGTGTATTACTGGCTGGAGCACCAGGTGAAAATAATGGTAAAGAGCAAAAAAATAAAAATGAATGCATTCACTACACTTACATCACACTGTAAGCCCTTGTTTATGTTCTTCGTCAGTGGCTGCCAATATTTGTTCACGTCTGCTTGAGAAATATAGAGGATTTTAATGTCTGCTAGTAATTGTCTACAGTGATGATGTGAAATGACTGATCTCCTGCGTTTCATTTAAAAGTAATTATTGGCACATAATATTGATACACTTCAGCTACTATTTTCATTAAATATTGCAAACACCGTAAACAAGTCTTTCTCTTTGCTTGGCAAAATAAAAACATAATCATATTATATTAGTAATGTGGAATTGCTATTGATTTTTCCTCTTTCATATGAATGTCTGAAACCTTAATTAAAAGTTTGCTTTTCCAGTAAATAGAATATAATACTTTTTAATGGTTTATACACAAATAAAAGCTGCAAGTGTTTAATGATGTCCTTGAAGGCTCAAAAAACATCAGAGGACAAACTTTATGCTCAGATTACGCAGTAGCCTTAACTTATTTTTACAAGCACATGACAGTCAAGTCTGAAATGCTAACAGTGTGTACACTTTTTATGAGAAAGTGAAACTGCATATTAAGAGCTTATTGGTATTGTGTGAAATAGTTTCTTAATAGTATTAAACCATACGGTCTGCAAGGTCGAGATTATGCTATACATTATTTATGGTAAACGATACCAATTTTCTATTTTGTTTTTCTTACACATTTTAGACACCAGCACAAAGAACAAGCAGATTGTATTTTTGGTATTTTCATTTTTCTCCACATTTTTCTCCTTCACTGATGTGCGCTAATGAGGCTGCAGTGATGGACACTGATAGGTGGCACTAATGGTCACTGATGAGGAGGCACTGGTAGGTGCCACTGATGGGCATTGACAGGCATCACTCGTGGGCATTGACAGACATCACTGATGGGCGCTGAAAGGCAGTACTCATATATGGCACTGATAGGCAGCACTAACTGGCACTGATAGGCAGCACTAGGTGGCACTGACTGGCACTGATAGTCAGCACTGACTGGCACTGATAGGTGGCACTGAAGGGCAGCTCAGATGAACACTGATATGTGGCATTGATGTGCACTGGTAGGCACTGATATGTGGCATTGATGTGCACTGATGAGCACTGACAGGTGGCATTGATGGGCACTGACAGGTGGTATTGATGGACACTGATAGTTGGTACTGATGGGGCTACACTGATCTTCAGGGCACTGATTATCAGTGCCCTGATGATCAGTGTAGATGTTCCCTCTGAGGAAATTGCCGATTACCAACTCTCTTCTGTGAGGAGAGGAATGCGGATAACTGGCATTTCCTTATTTACATGGGATCAGCTGTGATTGGACACAGCTGATCATATGACAAAGCCAAAATCATCGGCTCTTTCCGCTGATCGGTGATCTGCTGTGTCCCAGGGACACAGCTCACCACCTATCATTGCGCTGCATGCATTCGGGGGCACGCATGCACAGTTAGAGTGGGAGGATGTCTTATGACGTCCTCCCAGAACGAGAGAACCGCCATGCTCCCATCATTTACTTATATGGCAGGCTGGAGGAGGTTAAGTATCTTTTTATTTTTAAAGTGGTTGTAAATTTAATTTTTTATTTATTTTTGAGATTTGATAAAAGGCAGAGTCCTGAAATG